AGAAATGTTGTTTTACAGATGAGTCCAGGTTTAACATTTCCCATAGTGATGGATGTCGTCAACGTGCTTATAGACGCGAGGGAAACGTTATGCACAGGCCTGTGTCTTGGAGAGGAATCGCTTTGGTGGTGGTGGTGGTGGTTCCGTGGTGATTTGGGGTGGAATAACAGCACGCCAAAGAACTCCTTTGGTGATTGTTCAGGGCAACTTAACTGGTGCGGGCTACAGGGATCAGATTCTTCGACCTGTGGCAATTCCTTTTTCTGCAGCATCATGGCCCTGGGTTAACATTCCAACAGGACAATGCCCGGCAAGGGTTGCTATGGATTTCTTGCAACACCACAACGTTGACTTACTGCCTTGGCCTGCAAATTCAACGGATCTCTCCCCGATAGAGCATGTTTGGGACGAGATGGATCGACGTCTACGCCGTCTTCCTCATCCGCCAGATAACGTCCTTGACCTTGCAACAGAACTTGAAAGAATCTGGCGTGATATCCCACAAGCCTTCCTTGCACGTTTGATAGGCTCTATGCGTCGTCGATGCACTGCTGTTCTCAATGTCGATGGTGGACATACCCGTTATTGAGCTTGTGACATGGTCGTTTGACCCCTGTCCCGCTTGTGGACCCGTGACGTCATTGTGATTGACTTTTCAATTGAAATTCTCCCAACTTGTTTTTGTCTCATGATCCCTCCATTAAACTGTATATGTACCTTTGACATTGTTATCGTACTTATCAACTGGGATAATATTTTAACAATGCACAGTTTCTTTATGTGGCTAGTATATATACAACGCACTTATCATTACTACCCTCACTGACAACGTATCTGGTAAACTTGCAATGTATATACAAGGCACTTTTCATTGAGACTGGCGGTACATGTATGATTAGTACTTCTCACTGACAATGTATCTGGTAAACTTGCAATGTATATACAAGGCACTTATCATTAGTACTTCTCACTGACAATGTATCTGGTAAACTGGCAATGTATATACAAGGCACTTATCATTAGTACTTCTCACTGACAATGTATCTGGTAAACTGGCAATGCATATACAAGGCACTTATCATTGAGACTGGCGGTGCATGTATGATTAGTACTCTCACTGACAATGTATCTGGTAAACTTGCAATGTATATACAAGGCACTTATCATTAGTACTTCTCACTGACAATGTACCTGGTAAACTGGCAATGTATATACAACACACTTATCATTGAGACTGGCGGTGCATGTATGATTAGTACTTCTCACCGACAATGTATCTGGTAAACTTGCAATGTATATACAAGGCACTTATCATTAGTACTTCTCACTGACAATGTACCTGGTAAACTGGCAATGTATATACAACACACTTATCATTGAGACTGGCGGTGCATGTATGATTAGTACTTCTCACCGACAATGTATCTGGTAAACTGGCAATGTATATACAAGGCACTTATCATTGAGACTGGTGGTGCATGTATGATTAGTACTTCTCACTGGCAATGTATCTGGTAAACTGGCAATGTATATACAATACACTTATCATTGAGACTGGCGGTGCACGTATGATTAGTACTTCTCACTGACAATGTATCTGGTAAACTGGCAATGTATATACAAGGCACTTATCATTGAGACTGGCGGTGCATGTATGATTAGTACTTCTCACCGACAATGTATCTGGTAAACTTGCAATGTATATACAAGGCACTTATCATTAGTACTTCTCACTGACAATGTATCTGGTAAACTGGCAATGTATATACAAGGCACTTATCATTGAGACTGGTGGTGCATGTATGATTAGTACTTCTCACTGACAATGTATCTGGTAAACTGGCAATGTATATACAATACACTTATCATTGAGACTGGCGGTGCATGTATGATTAGTACTTCTCACAGACAATGTATCTTGTAAACTGGCAATGTATATACAATACACTTATCATTGAGACTGGCGGTGCATGTATGATTAGTACTTCTCACTGACAATGTATCTGGTAAACTGGCAATGTATATACAAGGCACTTATCATTAGCACTTCTCACAGACAATGTATCTGGTAAACTGGCAATGTATATACAAGGCACTTATCATTGAGACTGGCGGTGCATGTATGATTAGTACTTCTCACCGACAATGTATCTGGTAAACTTGCAATGTATATACAAGGCACTCATCATTAGTACTTTTCACTGACAATGTATCTGGTAAACTGGCAATGTATATACAACACACTTATCGTTGAGACTGGCGGTAACGTGCATAACACATTGTTGGTGTGTGTATTTTATTCATTAGTTTGAATTTTAAAACACTGGTGTCATACATGATTGTCAGAAAACTGTGTGAAAATAACAAATACGTCTATGATAAATATATCTTTCAAACCTATGACATATGTCATGTACCCTCATGTCTGAGGTTCAAAACGAAAAAGTATTTACACAGCTGGCATTATCGAAATAGAAACATCAATCTGTAACTATTGAAGTTCTGATCTTAGTTGAAAATAGTTTCAACAAACCAAAATCTGTAAGTATGGACAAAATAGAAATCCACTCAAGATTCATATAGATATGACTGAAACATTAGTTTTGCTTGGTTGATATTTGACAGTTAATTTGTCATGTTGATCAACCAAACTGTGCCGTTGCAAAGGGGCGTCACTCTAAACAATAAAATTTGAAATCTTATTTTAGGCCCACATGTCAAATGGCACAAAAGGAAAACGATTTAAAGTTTTGACAAAATGTATGTTGTATGAATCCTTTGTAAAATTGTCAGGGGCGGATCCAGAGGTGGGTGCGGGGGTGCGCAACCCCCCTTCTGCCCCGAAAAATAATTCCTTGAGCAGCATTTCTCCCTAACCTTGGACTTCATGATTTATGTGCAACCAGCCCCCACCCACACCCCACCCAACTCTGAATGTGATTCCCGAAAATGTGTTAACCTTAATTATCAAGTTTGAACTCAACCCTCCGTTTTGATTGTTAATTAGTGGGAGTTAAAGTGTGTGCTTAAAAAAAACCTCTATCAGTGAGGCATTTCTTTTGCGTGTCAGTATGTCGGGGAATTTAGTCATGTTGTCGAGTATTTATCCGACAGTCTTTTATGTTGATCACTTGAACTCACTGTACTAATTTCCAACCAAATCAACCAACTGGGCTCTTACCACATATCAACTAAGGCCCCCGACTGTTCTGCCTACTTTGTGCGTTCTAAAAATGACTAGGACGCCAAGTTTCAAGAAAAAAACATGTTTGGGTGTTACTGCTCCGGCGTTCCTTCTGCCTTCTTTGCACGACCAAAATGCACGTTTCTGGCATTTTCATGGCGATCCAATTCATTTTTACCCTGAGATGGAAAACATTTCGAAATCATCCCCTCTCCTCACCAGTGTAAAATGAAAGAGTTGCATCAGGTCTCTAGTGTCATCACGCATGTTGTTTGTCTGGAATGAGAGGACAGAAACAGGAGGCCTTGGCTCAGTGTGGGGTCTTGAGGAGTGGTGGGGGGAGGCTCCAATGAGTTAATATACTAAGCAGCAAAAGAAACGTCAGTTTGGAATTTTCCTTGGCTGAAACAGATAACTGTAAACTCATTTAATGTTTTGATTGTATATTTTTGACAACATCTCCAACTTTACCTGAGCAAAGACATGGAACCCAGGAAATGGTCTCAAAAACGCAACCTGATCTCGGAGATGGTACGGTGTTCTCCATGTTTTTCATGCAACTCATGCTGCACGTGCTGTTCACTAGGACCAGCCCCATAAAATGCACCCAAAATCTGGTTGAAACATTCACATTACAACGTCAGCACGATGCTGCGACTCACGACAGCTCAGTGGAACCAGGCGCTAGGAAGACTTGAAGCTGGCCACACTGCACAAGCCGTTGCCAATCACTTCCAGGTCAACGTTTCGGACCATCTACAGGTTGCAGCAACGTTTCCGGGCCACCAACACCACAAATGATCGCCCCCCGTACTGGCAGACTAAGGGTGACCACAAGACGACAAGACCGCCATGTTGTGCGACAGCATGTACAGAATCCCTTCATGCAGGCATCCGAAACAGCACGCCAGACAGTGGGAACACATTGAAAGCCAATCCGTACGCCTCCGGATTAACAGCAGGAACCTCCATTGCCGTAGACCTTACCGTGGACCTATCCTCACCCCTCGTCATCGGCATGAACGCCACAACACCAAAACTGGCGATCCAGGCATTGGAGAACTGTTGTGTTCACAGATGAGATGAGGTCCTGTGGTGTTCCATAGGCGGAATCACAGCGGTGCGCTACATGGACCAAGCTCTCAGACCCCACTTCGTACTACATTTCTCACGTCACGGGAACAACATTTTCCAGCCTGATAACGCCCGGGCCCATACTGCCAGAGCTGCACGGGACTACTTACAGCAGAACGGTGTCCTGATTTAAACCCAATGGAACATCTTTGGAATGAAATTCAGAGGAGACTGAATAATGTCATACAAAGGCCGAATCCAGCCGATTTATCGCTCCTGGCCTTTCTCAGAGTGTGGTTCAAGGTGCCAATGGCCTTCATCAATCGATTGGTGCACTCCATGCATAGACGCTGTGCTGCAGTTATTGCCGCTCATGGTGGTCACACTTGATACTGAAGTCAAGGGTCTGAATGGACTGCAAACGTTCGCATAATGTCTTGAAATTGTGCGGAGTTATTCATTGATGTGTCAAGATATTGTACACAAAAAACGTTTTTGATCCGCGTATTATGTCCATTTCTGCAATGATTTGATTACAGTGCCTATCTAATTTCGAATTCCTACTGACGGGGATTTTTTGGCTGCCGAGTATATTATATGGTCTCTGCTTATACCATGACAAAAATAACCGCTAACCTTTTAAGTTAGTAGAGTGGAGTTCTGAGGGTGAGAGGGTGACAGAGAGAATGACAGAGAAATAGGGAAAGATTACGAAAACTAAAACATAAAAAAACCTACAAAATTACCATCCTTTGGGTACATTCCATGTATATCCATATATAAACACAAACTTTTACCATGTACATATACACTGAAGTGCCTTTTTTATGAAATAATGTTCCTTTCAAGTCAAGAAAAATCCTTCAATTTTTAAAGGGAGAGAACTTATTCAGATGAAAACTGTCATCACAAGTTCTGCTCTGAAACGTTCATAAAATATATCAAATTGGGAAATATAAAAATTGTCTTTTTAAGAACAAGTCCATCAAATACAAATGATGTAAGTAAAGTAGACATGTATGTAATGTCTTGAATAGCATCGTTGTAATATTTGTTGTCTTATGTGGTAGATACTTCACAAGGATGGAGAGTACTATTACCGAACACATCAGTTTCATTTATTCTACAAAACTCTGTTGAGGTAATTTTGTAAACAATGTGAGGAACTCATTTCCTGAGTGAATAAATATGCCAAAAAGGTAACACATGTAACATTACAATCGATAGATATGATTTCAAAAGTGTCTGATGTTAATTTTGATACTTTTATTTCATAAAAGAGAAGCAGTTATTTGAAAATGATAAACAGAATTCATCTCATGTTTTTCTTAATATGGGTAATATCAACTGAGTCTTAGTTAATCATGTCGAGGTCATTTTGATCACCCTTCACTTCCTCATGACTTGTGCGTGAACGAAAATTCTTTTTATTTCCTCGTTTTCTCTTAAATGAAACTTTTTCATTCATGTCTTTTTCACCAACTTCAGCAACATCATCTTCATTTTCTATCTCCTCTACATCCGGCAGAGCCACCTCCTTCTGACTACTAGTGCTACAGCTCTGTGAATTAATTTTCTGCCCCTTCCTGTCTTGGCGCCTCACAAACTTTATTGCCATCTTGGAGCAGGCAGTCTCATCCAGGTCAGCAGGTGCATCTCCTTCAGAATGTGCTTCAAGTTCTCTAATTTTTTTCCTCTCATCTAAGAACTTGAATGCTGCTTGTGCGTTAGAGGAATCAGACATGTCAGAGTTGGACACATCATCTAAAGAGTAGGCTGTCCATCTGTCTGGATGAAGTTTATAATCTGGGGCATTATGTCTATGACCTCTGCGGCGTGAAAATGATTTTGAAGGACATTTAAAATCTCTATCTTGACCTTGTGTACGCCATGGTCTGCCATAACTTCTGTGTTGTGAGCGGTTGTATGGTTTGTCTTTGTGTAGATCATGCTGCTCTTCATGATGTTTATACTTGGCAGTTTTCTCTATTGTTCTTGTATCATCTTCATTGGGATCTTTCTTCAGAAGATCATCATAAGATGTCTGATGAGCCTTCTGATGTTCCTCATGTTTTACTTCCAGTACAGAGAGATAGCCAAAGACATTCTTTGTCTTGTCTGCAAATCTGTCAGTGCTGTTGCTCAGCTGGAATTCAGGAGCCTCATCTTGATTTTCCATAACTGGAATACAATGAAAGATATTAGCACATGAAACTTATGGAATACAATCATTGTTTCTGCAATAGATGTATAAATGAGGTATAAGCAGCCACATTTTAAGCACATGGTTTTCTCAAACTGTACCAGGGTTTTAAACTCAAGTTATTATCGTTAATAATTCCAGTAATATATCATTGCCTCTAACATGTCTAACATATGGCCTGACCACTGATAATTATCTATAGCAAGTTGTGCAAGAACAGTGTCTTGCTATTCTTAACTGTCATGTGTAAGGTGGGATAACCTAACCTATTCAAAATTAATATTTAAATTCTGAAACGCAAGAAGTGGTTGGCACTACACCTGATACATAGGATAGCTTGTGCACATCCAACAGGATAAATGACAGGACTAACATCATGCTCATGATATATTACTCTTATCTCTGGACAACCTATCTGGATCCTTTTGTAAGGTTGCCATGGTAACTGAACTGTAACATCACTTATATGGGCTCCCCATCCCAAATTGAATGGGTCTATAAACAGTTATTCGGGTCCCCAAAGTACCAGTGGAATGCCCTCCACAGCGTTTCCTTGCTGCATCCGCAACTTGAGATCACTCATTAATTACGGCGATAAAGATGTTATTAATCCGACTTTGGTGATCTTGCTGACTTCATCCATGCATGTATGACTCCAATGTTCATTCTAGCCTTTATAAAAAGTGTGAAACTAATGTGGATCCTGTCAAATTGCTGTGACTTGAAAGCCATACAGGACTTAGTTAAGTTAGTAGTTACTAATTTGTGTTCACATACTATATTTGACTTCCAATACAGGTAAGGCCAACAATTTCAACAAGAGAAACCACACCAAGATCTGATAAACACATTTATTAAACATTCTAATTTAAACACTAAGATATCCTTAACGCTTCAACATTGAAACAACAGGGATTTTTTCAATCCAGAAGTAAATCATTTCAACGAATACACAATGCCATTTAGTAAGTGGTCAAATGTTACATGTCATATTTGGGATTACACTTTCTCAGTAAAGTACATATTCTAGTACTTTTGTTGGGTTGAATCCCATCCGGGATTCAAACCCACACCCTCAGAGTCAGGCACCTAATCGCCAGCACACAAAGTTAGACGCCTAAACCGCTCAGCCACCACGGCTTCCAAAGCTGGCTAGCTATTCTCGAAACTTCTTAAGCCCTAAGATCTTCTTAAGCCCATTCTTAACACATTGGCTACGATCAAAGTTAAGAATTCTTAGGGCTACGAACGTTTCGAGAATAAGGGCTGGTTCTTGGTTCTCAACATTAACTTTAAAGAAAAAACTGAATATTTGTTACACTTAATAGCTTCTTCATCATTTAGACATATCAGTGTCAGAACAATATTCCTGTATTCACTTCAACCCTGTAGAGTGTTCTATCAAAATCAGTTTCTATGAAACTCTTCATAGACTGGTCCCTCAACAGATACTGATTGTATCATCTTGTCTCTCATCAGCCAATCCTGGCATTTCTCTTCAGGCCCATCCTCTTTATGGTTATTGTTGTTGCTGTTGTTGGTTGTGATTTCTGTAACTTCATCATGACAAGAAGATTTTTGCTTCTTCGTGAAAAAAAAAAAGAATTTTCAACTGACATCAGGGTTTGAGAGTGTCACCCATAGCAACAAAAGTATGAAACTTCTACATGCATCGTGATTGGATCACTCAAAGAAATCGACCAAACATCATCAGTTTTACAAAGTGCAGATTTGTAGGCTTCGCACTGTCATTTGAGAAAGCTTGAAGTGGTTACTAAGTTCAGGGTACTCAACAGAATAAGGTAGGTAGGTAGCAGGTAGAGCATTTTGTACGTAGTGCGACAAATAAATTTTCAGTACACGAATGGCGCAAGGGTGCGTCCGAGAATGAACACTGTTTGAGAAGATCTTCCTCAGGACATAAAATTTCAACACTGGGTTTGAATCTGGTGTATATGTAAATGATGTCTTGTACTGGCTAGTCTCTGATCTTGGCAGATGAATCAGGAAGCCAAATGGATCAGGAACATTACAAGAAAAGTCATGTTTAGATGTATTGCATCCTGCATTTTGCAGGTCATCTGTGATTACAGTCAGATGTATTAGCCAGTCTGTTCCAGTTCCTGTTGATGGTTGGCATAATTGGCATGTGCAGTTCATGAAGCAATGTAAAGTGGGCCCACGGCAACCTTCCCGAATCTGTGAATTACAAGTCAATACAGATAATGTTCAATGCTTGTGTTAAGCTTTTCTTTTAAATGCATGGTGCCTGTGGTGTAGATGGTGTGCCACCAACCCAGCTTTCATGAAAAGAGATTTTCTCTAAAAAGACATAACAGCTCTTCCACCATGCTACACTTTCTTAGCCAAAGGAGACACTCTTTGTTGTCAATCAATGGACCCTAAAACATCTTGTACCCCTGCATTTTTAGCTTTGGGATTCTTCCAAGACAGCAATAACAGTTTCTACCCCATACTTCTCATCTCCGTTATAATGACCTTAAATATTTGGTCAAACATACGTTCATAATGATTCTTAAACACATCTTAAGGAGGATGGATGTAGAGTCTAATTGGAATGAAAGAGACTGGTGAGATTCCCGTGCCCCTTGTGGCCTCTTGGTCAGGTAATGTCTAAATTAGTATCTCTATTGCAACCTCACTGTTATAGGGACTAATTCAGGACAGCCACCGTCCAAATTTTTAAAAAGTAAAAAGCAACTATGTAGTCAAAACATGTGAGACTTTATTGTAATTATTTATATGATGCTAATCTGTATTCTATGTAATCCTTATCACTTCCGTATTGTACATTGACTTGTCAGACAATTAATTACTGTATATGACATTTATAACCTTTACTGGTCATCCCCCTTGGCCGTGTCAGCCATCACATCAACTGGTCAAGGAAGTGCTATTGTTTTCTATCTGTTCATTGTTGAGTCGTCACCTGTCCATTGTTGCCCGAAAACTGTATATATATGCTCACATATACATTGTGAAAGAGTACGAGTCCGGTATTCAGACTGTCTGTAGGGACGACCACGAGCAGGAGAATGCCGCTCGTAGGAAACACCCTGGGGTTGAGCAGGTAATCCGCTCACCTCATTTATGTCCTGTGTATTTGTTTTGTCATGTAACTAAAGGAATTTGAGCTCAACGTATTCCTTTGTCTTGTCAATGTATTGTACGTACACTTCATCTTAAACATGAGCTAATTCCCCAGTCGACCGTATACCACGCGTTGACAATTTGGTGGAGAATCCAGGTAGAGTAACTTTTTAGCTCACTCCAGATCCTGAAACCTCTCTAAGTGCCTACCATTAACATTGTATATCAAGGATGATTCCCCAAGTTCTACGTTACTTGAAGAGACTGCAAAAGTCTTGATCAACAAGGATCCTCAACGCTGACATCTTGAATGGAGCACCATACAGCAACCACCTGATGGACAACCTACAAGTTTAGGATGAAACAGCGAGATACCATAGTCAAAGCAAGTACATGCGTCTCTCCCACAGAGATCTGATCACAGCCATTAAAATGGAGATCCTGTATTCATACAGAAAATACTAATTCCCCAGTCGACCGTATACCACGCGTTGACAATTACTGAGTACAGCTGCTTCTGCCCTCTAAGCTTTCACCCCTTGAGTGAGACACCTTGGCGTACACCTTAAGAAAGGGTTGAGCACTCCTATCCAGTATCATGGGCTACACTTCTTGCAATAACATGTGGATCTTACATGATTATGAAATAACCACAATTCTTGCAAAGGATCGAAAAACTCTGAGGATTGTATAGTGTGATCACAGCCAATATAGAGACAACATATGGCAATGATGGAACAGAGAATGAGTACCTTGAATTAAAAATTGATTGCCATTTCTGTTCCTGTCTTATCTGTGATAACTCTTGACAATAATGGACAATACAACAATGAATTGGAGTAAAACTATTTCAGTATATTACCGTAGATCAGCCGATCCCATAGATAAGCTGGCCCCCTAACTTGACCCTTTATATCAGTGTCAAAAATGTAATTTTTTGAGTAAAATTGATATTTTATACTTATCCTGACTCATGCTCTTTTGCTTGTCCCCTTCCTCTTGCGAACATAGTGGAACACTTGTATCTCCTTAATTGAAGCTCCCTTCAATGTAAAATCACTAATTGGTACTCACCCAAGAGTTGCCTCCCCTGCCGCAAACGCGGGAACAGGTGTCGCCACCCTCTGGCCTCATGCTTCACACTCTCCTGATTTTGCGAGCCCAACACTTGAATTTACAGGGAAATCCAAAGTGTTATGTGGGGAGGATGGGAGGGCTAACCTCATGAGTCAGGATAAGTATAAAATATCAATTTTACTCAAAAAATTACATATTCTTCCTTATCCTGACTCATGCTCTTTTGCTTGTAGAATCCACCGGAGTGGTGGTGGGCATAAACAGAATACTTTGGATTAATAATTAGTGATTTAAATAACTTATACTGTAATAACCCCTGCGGGAACTTCATAAAGGCATTGACTTAGGATATTTCCTTTATAATAAGCCATAGGTTATATATACCATAACTGGGGTATTACATTACTAATAGACTGATATACCAAATTATAGATATAACAAGCTACTCTGATAGAGAAGCTGTACAACTGAACATAAAACTCAGTATGAGCTTAAGGTTGAATAACCTAAGCTAAATATATACATAGCCCTAGAACTCCGTGGAGTTATAAGCTAAATAATGTATGTATAATATACATAATAATCTCGTGGGGTGAATATTAACGCCTCACGAGGGACTGTCAGTTGCTGGCGAGGACCAAAGGACCCGAAATGGTGAATGCCAGAGGCGTCCTCGGTGGTGATATCTCTCAGATAGTGATTAGCAAACACCATGTTAGATTTCCAGAAGCATCCTTCCATAATTGTATTCAATGAACAGTTACCGTGAAGGGCGAGGGTGGAGGCCAAT